GAAAGGATTATTTTTCTCCAGTCAATGCAATGGGTTGTTTATTGTGTAATCAATTTAATGGTTTTAAAAACTGAGATTAGGAAACATATCAAATTCAATATCGGCAAACAGGAAATATCTCAAATTCCATGAACAACTCAATCAAACCAAAAAACACACAGAAACATGATCTCACCTGGGCCTTATCAGCAAGCTGAACAACCAATCTACCAACAGGGAGAGGCGACGCGTAAACGAACGAGTGGTTTATGCACTCGGACCTGAGATACCTTGAAAGAACACGACCATCAGCAGTGAGACCAGAAATTGCTATCCCAACATGATCATCAACCTTAAAGATCTTTCTCTGGTAAGAAGAGAGTCTGAAACAGCCTTATTAACACTCGCCAAAACCACATGCTTGGAAGATCTCAGGCCAATGAACATTCGCCTGAGTTCAACTAATGAAGATTGTAGAGAGAGAAACCTTAAGAGAGAAATATGAATGGAGTTTGCTTAAACCCTAGAGAGAGGAGTGGGAAGTGAGATAAACTCTCGAATGGAATTGGATGGTGAAGCTGATCGGGCGTTTCTTCTCCTGCAAGTGGAGGTACAGCTTTTTACTGAGCATTCGTGTTTGCGGCTTCTTTTTTTCTAGAAAGGTGTTCTTTAATGGAAAAACAGACACCAGGGACCGGACACGTAGACCCGACGTCGGATCTGGGCATGGGTTTAATTTTTGGACCGTATGGGTTAGGTCCGGGTCCAAAACTTGGATCCGAATAGTTTTAGACCCAATGCTATTTGGGTATGTGTCCAGGTTCAGACAGACCCGACCCGTATATGTAAACCATAGGCGATAAAATATTTTATTTTAAACCGTAGTTATTTGGCCTTCTTATCGTATACAATAAGAACCCGTAATCATTTTTTAGCTATATTAAGGGGCTACTTGGGAATCTGAAATCTATTACATAGAAATAGATTATATGTAAATATGATATTTACATTGTTTCGGTACAATTTAATAATAAAAAAATGAAAAAGATTATTTGAGATTTCTCAAAAAAATAAGTAAATCTATTAATCCGACTGCACGTTTGACGGGTAAATGGAGAAATCTTTGTGGCATTTCTCTCAAAAATACCTTAATTCACCTCCTAATAAACAAAAAAAAAACGGTTTTCTTCAACCAGCAGCTAAAACGCGTAGCTCCATCTTCTTCAACCAATAACCCGAATGCCGAATGGCACATATATTTAAACCTAAAAAATAACACACCCCATCTTCAAATCTCAAAAATGATACAGCCCATCTTGAATCACATATATATTTAAACCTCAAAAATTACGCATTCCATCTTTAAACCTCAAAAATCATACAGCAGCCCTATCTTCTAGCTAAAAACTGGTTGCACTATATTCTGCAACTACAGTTGCAGCTACGTCTTCTAGCTAAAAATCGGTTCCCCATATTCTGCAACCACAGTTGCAGTTATTGTTTATTTACGGATAAAGATATCCAAGATTCATATTTTTTGGATTCTACAACCATAGTTGTATATATTGTTCCAAAAAATTAAACGGATTTTGGTTGTCTTCTAATATCATTGTGTTTATTTTTTTGACTTTATTTTTTATTTGTTGTTGTTGTTATTGTTTGCCGATAAATTCGAAATACTTGAGTTCACTCACAAAGAATGGTCAAATCAATGTGCTTGAAATTTTTTTTTTTTTCAAAACTTTTTAAAATTAATTTACCTCTTCAATCTCTTCCAATGCCCCAACATAATCTCTTCCAATACATCTCAATTATAACCTTCTAGGTTACTAGTCAAATTTCTTTAAACTTTTTTTTTCTTTTGAATTTGCCCAAGAAAGTTTGCTGGAGAGAAATGATCAAAATGCTTTAGCACAAGAAAAAAATATAAAAAATATGATGGCCTATCATAATAAAAGTATGTTATTCCAAAGTGTTAACATCTTGGATATTCCCAGTCAAGACGTAAAGGTATACAAAAGGTGTGACTAATTCTTATGCCTGATCCAATTATAAAGTTTAAGTTACATACTAATAGGGGTTGTACGCTCAACCATGTTTTGGGTATAAAGCCAAAAAAAGAAAAAAAATGTTGGTAATGTGTTTCTCATATTTCTTTTGGATAGAGCCAAACAATAATAATGTATTTCCCAGGTAAATGTGACTTGGTCTTATTGTAAAATTATCGTTTATATAATGTCTCATTCGTTCTGCTGTCGTGTGAGCATAGTCTATGTCTATTCTCACAGTCAAAAGACCCACTTGGGATATTTTTATAATTTGGAATTTTGAGAACAAAAATTACTAGATGATATTCTCAAAACAAAAATTTAAAAATTGAGTTTTCTAACATTTAGATCTCACCTTTTAGAAATTAGATGGTCTCTTTTTCGATCTTGAAATATTATTTTATTGAGTGCCGAGAGAATGCAGTTATAAATTCTTTTATTGAGGTTAATCCATGGTTGAAAGGGGATTGAAATTCTTTTATTGAAGTTAATCCATGGGTGAAAGAGATTACATCACATGAACAAAGGCACCATTGTCATGTCATCTCACTTCTCTCTTCATCACCACCTTCTTTTGGCCTCTTCTCTCGAACCTGTTTAAACCCCAATAATCTTCTCTTCCAAATCCACACGTTGTATTCTCCGGGATTTGTTTCAAGTCACCGTTGATGTTTTATGGATATCATTGTGGTTGGATTATGGCAAAATTAAGCCATTTTTCCACAGCCTCCAGCAACCTTCTACTGTTTCAAGTAAATTTTTATTATTGAAAAAGGGTTAACGAAACGAGAATTCGGATGAGATTTCGTTGTCAAAAAGGTTAATTAGTAATTATTGCTTGAACTCAGTCGAGATTTCCCCCAACTCTGATTCTTATTTTAAAACGTGGTCAAACGTTTTGCCCCTTATTCTTATTTTAAAACGTGGGTATAAAGGTTTGTTGCGGTTCAAAAGCGTTTTAAAAACCGGGTGTAAAGGTTAGGTTGTTTAGCCAACTAGTTCATATGGATATATGAATTTAATGGTTTAGATTAAATCTAAGTCGATCCGATGGTTATAATTTTATTTTATGTTTGAATTTTAATTTTTTTTTCTATAAATCTAAATTACTTGAAATTTTAGGCGTGTGTTCTTCTTATCAAAATACACCTAATAAAAATATAAAAAAATTATTCGTAAAAAAAGACTAAAATACTCCTAAAACTTTTCAGGGGTATTTTAGTTAATTTATTTTATATAAATTTTTTTTTTGATATTTTTCGAATATTAAACTAGTTTTGATGAACACACTCCTAAAGTTTCAAGTGATTTTGGATTTATAGTAAAAAAAAATTAAAACTTCAAAACACTAACCGGGACAATCCGTAGTTCTGGGAGGCAAGGCACACAGGGGGATTAGG